CCCGGGCTCCTTTCCCCCTTCCCGGGCGGGGGGATGCGGCCGGGGGCGGCCCCGGTGCCCGGGCCGGGCCGTGCCGAGCCCCGGAGCCGTGCGAGGACAAAAGATGCGGCAGGTCGGGGATCAGGGTGGGTCCCAGCGGTGGTGGCCAAACCCAGGGAAACCAGAGCAGGAGGAGAGGCTGGGAGGGCCACGGAGCCCGCAGGGCGCAGAGGGGTCCCGCTGTCGCACAGGGATGAAGGCTCACCCTCTCTCCCCTCACCATCCCCCGTCACACCGAGCTCCCGGTCCCGCTCCAGCCCTGGAGCCGGGGTCACATCCCGGGGCCCTGCGCAGACCCCGGCTCGGGGGGAAGGCGGATGGACCCCCGGCCCCGCTCCTGCGCCCCGGCCCCGCAGGGCCCGGGGATGGCAGCGCCGCTCTGGTGTGGCACTGCATGGCATGGCATGGCATGGCACGGCACGGCACGGCACCGCGTGTCACCGCGTGTCACCGCACCGCACCCCGCCAGCCTGGCAGGCTCCGGCAGGCGGGAGGTGCCAGCCCAGCTCTGCTTTTCCAGCCAATTAAAGGAGAAGGAGAGAAACAAAGAAGGAAAGGAGAGCCCGGCTGGAGGCTCTGCCAGGCGGAGGTGGGGCACCAGCGCCCTGTCCCTATCCAGCTGCGGGGCTGGCGGCCGCTCGGAGCGGGCAATGGCACCGCCACGCCGGGGTGGAGAAGGAGCTCCAGGAAAACCATCCTGCAGCGCGGCCGGCGGGCACAGAGCGGGCTGGCCAAGGGACACGCGACAGCAGCTGCACAGCCCCGGCCTGACAGCTGCCAGCAGTGCACATCCCGATATCCTCATGTCCTGGTGTCTTGATATCCCGATGTCCCCATACCCCAATATCTCCATGCCCCCATATCCTGATATCTTGATGTCCCCAATATCCCAATGTCCAATATCTCGATATCCCGATATCCCGATGTCCTGATATCCCAATATCCCGATGTTCTGACATCCAAATATCCCAATATCCTGATGTCCCGATATCCCGAAGTCCAATATCTCAATATCCCAATGTCCTGATATCCCAATATATCTCAATGTCCCAATATCCTGATATCTCAACATCCCAATGTCCCAATATCCCGATATCTCCACATCCCGATATCCCAATATGCTGATGCTCCAATGTCCCGATATCCCAATGTCTCGATATCCCGATATCCCAGTATCCCGATATCCCAGTATCCCCATATCCTGGTGTCCCAATATCCCAATATCCCAATACCCCGATGTCCCAATATCTGATATCCCAATATCCTGATGTCCCAATATCCCCATATCCTGATGTCCCCATATCCCCATATCCCCATACCCCGATGTCCCAATACCCCGATACCCCGATACCCTGATATCCCCATATCCCAATATCCTGATACCCTGATGTCCCAATGTCCTGATATCCCGATATCCCAATACCCCGATACCCTGATATCCTGATGTCCCAATATCCCAATACCCCGATATCCCAATGTCCCAATATCCCGATATCCTAATATCCCGATATCCCAATATCTCCACATCCTGATATCCCAATATGCTGATGCTCCAATGTCCCGATATCCCAATGTCCCGATATCCCCATATCCCCATATCCCGGTATCCCCATATCCTGATGTCCCAATATCCCAATATCCTGATACCCCGATGTCCCAATATCTCGATATCCCAATATCCCGATATCCCAATGTCCTTATGTCCCGATATCCCGATATCCCCATATCCGCATACCCCGATGTCCCAATACCCCGATACCCTGATAACCCCATATCCCGATACCCTGATGTCCCAATACCCTGATACCCCAATACCCCGATGTCCCAATGTCCCGATATCCTGATATCCCGATACCCTGATGTCCTGATATCCCGATGTCCCGGATACCCCGATACCCCAATACCCCAATGTCCCGATGTCCTGATGTCCCATGTCCCGCAGCGCTGTCCCCGCTGTCACCCAGCGGGCAGCAGGGCCCTGTCCCAGCCCGCCGGGCCGCGGGGAACAAACACCCACAGCCGAGCGGGGCAGCGCCACCGCGGCTCCCGCCCCATCCGATCCCTCCCCGCTCCCGCTCCCCACAGCGAGGGTCAGTCCCAGCCACGGGCACAGGGACGGGCCGGTGTCCCCAGCCGCTGGGAAAAGCAGCAAAACCCGGAGCTTTGGTTTGATCCCACCTCATCAGCACAAACATCTGCTGGTGGCCCCTCGCGGGGCGGGGCACGGCCGGTGGGGGTTTGATAAGTGGATTTTTTCAGGGAAAAACCATAAAAGGAGGCAAAGTCTGGTACGTGCTGCGTGTCCCCAGGAATGGGGTCAGCCAGCACGGGGTGAAGGAGCTCGGGGGATGTCTGAATGCCCCAAACACGACACCAGTGCTGCGGTGTCATGGCCCAAACCCAGTTTTCCAAACTGGTTTGGTGTGGGTTGGAGCGGGCAGGGCTCGGCAGGGCCCCTCTGGATCAGGTTCCTTGTGCCCAGTGGGTGCCAGCTGCGCCTGGGGCATCCAGAGCATCCCTGGGACCAGGGGGGCAAGGGAGCAGGTCACAGATATTGGGAAACCAGCTGGGGTGTGAAAGGTGCCCACGAGGGGACAGTGGCACACAGGAATCCATGGAAAAGTGCCCAGGAGGTGACAGTGGCACACAGAAATCCATGGAAAGGTGCCCACGAGGTGACAGTGGCACACAGGAATCCATGGAAGGCATCCACAAGGGGACAGTGGCACACAGGAATCCATGGGAAGGTGCCCACGAGGGGACAGTGGCACACTGGGAGCCATGGAAGGTGCCCACGAGGTGACAGTGGCACACAGGAATCCATGGAAGGCATCCACAAGGGGACAGTGGCACACAGGAATCCATGGAAAAGTGCCCACGAGGGGACAGTGGCACACAGGAATCCATGGGAAGGTGCCTGGGCTGGGCAGGGAGGACCAGCCCAAAATGGTGGCATCACCTCAGGGTGTCACCATGCTGCTGTTTAAGGGACACCCGGGCCCAGGCTGGCCGGGGGGCTCAGCTGAGCCGTGCCCTCCCTGGGCAGCCCCGCTGGTGGCACGAGCTGCTCCTGCAGCCGTGGGGCAGCCCCACACCCACCAGTGCCACCCCAGCCCCGTGACTGGGCACACTGGGAGCACGGCTGTCCCCAGTCACAGAGCAGAGGGCCCAGGACGGGGGGGGACAGGAGCCTGCTGGTGCCATCCCCATGTCGGGGTGAAGCAGAGGAGGGGAGCAGGGACGGGGTTGTGGATCATCCCCGCTCCCTGAGGCTCCATCCCAAACCTCAGCTCTGCCTGCTCCGGGTGCCGTGTCACCTCAGGGTGGCCTTGGTCACCCCAGGGGATGCCTGGGTGGCACTGCCACCTCCAGTGTTCTGGGGCTGGCTCAGCACAGGGTCTGGGTGCCACCCTGGGATGAGGAGCTGAGGGTTGGAGGCATCTCCCCATGGTGGGGCTGGAAGCTGCTGCCTCCAAATCCAGGAAGGAGCTCTGGAGAGCATCCCAAAGGATGAGCCGGCTCAGGGTGAGCCTGGAGCGGGAAGGGAAAGGGATTGGAGCCTTTGGGGATGCCAACAGCGCCAGGACACAGGGGGGGAAGGTGGGGGGCACAGCCTGACCCGAATTAGCAGCACAAAGTTCCTCCGGGTGTGAGCAGGAGCTGCTCTCCCAGCCCAGGAGCTCGCACCTGTCCAGCCTTCCCCCAAAATTAAGATTAACATCCCTCAGATCTGGGATATCTCGGGGAATAATCACCAACAAACCTGCCTGGGAGCTGCGTGCTGAAAAGGAATGTGACCAAAAGCCAGGAGACTCCTGCACACCTGGAAAATCCCCGCTGGATTTATCCCGGCTCGGGTGAGTGAAACACAAAGCGAGGGGACAGCTGGGGACACGGAGGCCATCCCCGCTGGGAATGGGGCACTCCAGCCTGGGAACGATCCCAGTGTCCTGCTCAGGGCTGAGCACCGGCGTCAAAGCTTCCCCATCCCCCAGCAACAGCTCCTGCACCCCCATCCGAGAGCGGGGACCCCTCCCCACCCGCTGCCTTCTGGAGGATGAAGAATGAGCAGGAGCTGGGAAGAAAGTGCCTGTCAGCAGGATGCCACCATCATCTCCAGAGGGCTCTGGAGCCCGTTTCCATCGCTGCGTCCATCCATCCATCCATCACCCCCCGTCCCCGGGGACAGCACGAGCTGACCCCACACATTTCAGCAGCCCCGTCCTGCTCTCCTCGCCGTGACGGGCCCGGCACGGCCGCGGGGGCAAGTCGGAGGCTGCTGATGCTCCATTAGCGCACCACCCTGCCGGGATAATTAATCGCAACCTCGCCGGCGCTGGTTTGAGCAGAACCCCCCGGATCCCCTCGCCGGCTCCTCGGGCAGAGCCCGATGGAGATTGATTCGCGGGCGGCGGCGAGCGCGGCACCGAATTGGCACGAAACCCTACAACCGAAACCCCACAATCCCGTGCCAATCAACCTTCTCCTTCCTCTCGCCACCGCGGCCCGGTGTCCCCGCCGCGGGCAGCTGGGTCCCGCTCGGGAGCGGGAGAGTTTCCAAAGTGCTGCCGGCGGCTCCAAGTTTCCCTCTCGCCCCGACTCGGGGGACCGGCACCCCGAGACGCGTCCGTGGGGTCACCAGAATGGGAACCCGCGGGCGGGAGTGAACTCGGAGGGTGAGATTGCAGTTGGGAACAAAGCTCACACCTGCTGGAGACGCAGCCTCGGGCACTGACAGCGCAGGGAAAGGGTCCCCATCCCCTCCCCGGCCAGCGCCGGCTCAGGCAGGAGATGAGGGTGGCGTTGCCTGTCTTTTAGATCAGCGTTTCTTCTTTTCTGTGTGTTTTTTTCTGGGTGATGGCGAGGCATCCCCAAGCTGGTCCCAACGCAAGGTCACCGCCGAGGCGGCGCGGCGAGCAGCATCTCGCACAAAGCACCCGCGGCATGCCGATGAGCCTTACCAGCTGCAGGCAGCAGAATCCCACCAGCGTGCAGCGCCCGTTGCATCTCCCCATGGCTCCCAGCCGGATCCTCGGCGCTCCTGCTCCTCCGCCGCGCTCCAGCTCCTCACCGGCCGCCCCCTACCCACGCGGGGAGCGTCACGGGGGGCTCCAGCAGCATGTCCCGGTGTCCAGCTCCGGCCAGCGCCGCCGGCTCAGCACAGCGGCGGGCTGGGCTCGGTGCGGGGCATCGCCCGCTGCTCCCGGCGCCGCCCGGCGCTACAGCCCGCGGGGGCGGCGCGGGGGCCGCGGGGCCGCGCAGCTCCGGCCGCCCATGCCCGGCCCGGCCCGGCGCGGAGCCGCCCGCTCCGCTATTGTCTCGGCACCGGGCGGGCGGGGCCGGGCGGGGCGGGGCCGGGCGGGCACAGCGAGCCGCGCCGAGCCCCCGGCGGCCCCTCCGGTGCCCTCCGCCGCACCGCGGCTCCCGCCGGGCCTTAGCCGCGATCGTTTGGCTCTGAAATCGCCGGGTTTTGTTGTGATTCTCTTTTCGCCTCCGGAGCCAGCTGCGGCTGGGTGAGACCCTGGGGAAGCGCTGCGAGATGCTGCCGCTGTTTCCCCCCGCATCTCCCGCATCTCCCGGCCCTGCGGTCCTTGGGCGGCGCCTGGACCCGCAGCACAGGGACCCGCCACCTCCCCGGGGGTGGCCATGCCAGCACAGCAGCTGGGCTGGAGGGGGGACAGATGGCCGGGCCCGCAGGGAGCGCCCCGCATCCCCCCGCATCCCCCGCACCGCATCCCCCCGCACCGCAGAGCCCGCTCGGCACACGCGGCGGGGCCGGGGCACGGAGGTGGGTGCGGGCAGGGCGGACACGGCCCCTCACCGCCACCCACCCGCTCGCCTTTGTTCTGTTTCGCAGCACACCTTCAGGGACATCGCAGAGCGCGAGGGATCACCGCGATGCTTTAGAAACCTCTGGCGGAAATGCCGCCTGGCAGAAGCACTTAGAAACAGTTTGCTGCTTTTAATTTCCATGATTTCTTAATCCTCAGCGCTGATGTTCAGAAGGAAACATCTCCTAAACCCACCTCACGCTGCCGTAGGTGTCAGAGCATCCACACGGCATCCGAGGGATGGAGCTGCATTTGTGTGTGTGGTCCAAACCCATCCAAGCTTGCAAGGTCTCATCCCCGTGCGCTGCTGGGACCATCAGCAGCACCTCCCACACCTGGAGCTTCTCCTTCCCCTTCCACCATGGGGATTTCTCTGTCCCCGGGGCTGTTTTGTGCTCCCGGGAGCATCTGGGGAGTTTGAAGGATGGGGCTTTGCAGAAAACGCGTGGCTTTTGTGCATGCAGACACACACAGTGCAAAGATGCAGCGGGTCCTCAAGGGATGCTCTGAACCGGCTCCTGGCAGCAGGAGCAGACTCAGATGTGCTTTATTCCTCCCTGGCCTGGCTGAGTGAGCTCCAGCAGCCCTGAGCATTCCCAGCCCTGCTCTGCAGCTGCCAAGGGTCCCAGCTGTGGGGCTGGGCCATCCCTCCCAGCTCTCCTGGCTCCAGGATCCCCAGGCCTTCACACGGGACAGCTCCCATCACCTCCATCCATCCCCTTCTGTCCCAGGTGAGGGTTACCCTGCCACAGCCACACCTCCAGCATTCAGCTTTTGGGCTCCTCTGGGATTAAACACAGCAGAAACTCGGAGCAGAGGGGTTGGGATCACCACAGGTCAGAAATGATAAGGACCAAAGCACCCCACAGCACCTCCTTGGCCATGGCCAGGCAAATCTGCCCAGCTCAAGCCTCCTGCAGCCCCCAGAAACAGCAGGGAAAGGCAAAATGCTCTGATGGAGAATCATAAATTCCCATCCAATGGTGCCAAGATCCCGCCTGGCTCCCCAACAGGTGGAGTTTTGCAAAGAATCAATTTTAGATTAAAAAAAGGTCAATAAACCCTGTCATGGAGCTTCCCTGGAAGGAGAGGAGACAACTTCATCCGGGAGAGGCTGGGGGATGAGCCCAGGGCTTTGTTCTGCTCAGAACCTGCCACTCCACACGCCCCACCCTGGGGTTTGTGTGCCACAAAAAGCGCCAATGGCCAAAATTACAGAGAAAATATCAGGAGGAAATACAAAAAGGGTCGTGTCATTAATTGGGAGGATGGGAAATGCTTTGGTCCCCAGCTGTGCTCCCACCAAGCCCTGTTGTGCCTCAGTTTCCCCAACACCCCTGGTGGGGTCAGAGCCTCATCCCAAATCTCCCGTGGGACGGAGAAGGGAGAGCAATGGCCCCATCAAGGCTGAGACTTCATTTCTCTGCCAGCCCAGGTGCTGGTGGGGTGGCAGGGATGTCCCCTGCCCCCCATGGCCACCTGGCTCTGACCCAGCTGAGCTCTCCATCCCCGGGGCAGCAGCAGCCAGATGGGATCTCCTCCCCAGGTACACAAAATCCTCTCTTGCCACTAAACCCGAGTGCTCGAAGTCAAAACCCATCTGTATCTCTGTGCCAGAGAGAGCTCTGCTTGCCAGGGGTATAAACAGAACACAGAGACATCAGGGTTTTTCACTAAACTGATATTTTTATACCAAAGTCAGGTTTTTGTCTATCTGGGCAGGGCTGGAGCAGCCTGGGGACAGGGACAAGGGACATCCCAGTTCCAGGGGCAGGGATGCTCCAGCTTTGGGTCCAGGGATGGGGAAAGGATACCCCAGCGTGGGGTCAGGAGTGCTCCAGCCCCGGGGGCAGTGGCTCTCCAGCCCTGGATTCCAGGGATGTCCCAGGTTTGGGATCAAGGGTGTCCCACTCCCGGGGTCACATTGTTCCAGCCTTGACTCCTGGGATGTTCCAGAGCCAGGGTCAGGTCAGGAATGTTCCATCCCCGGGGTCATAAATGCCCCAGTCCTGGGGTGAAGGATGCTCCAGACCCGGCCCCAGGGATGTCCCAGACCCGGGATCAGGAATTCTCCATCCCTGGGGCCATAGAGGCCGTGGCTGTGGGGCCAAGGGCGCCCCATCCCCGGGGTCAGTGAGTGACACTCCAGCCATGGGTACCAGGGGTGTCCCAGCTTGGCACTGAGGATGTCCCAGTCCTGGGGCATTTCTGACCCCAGCCCTGAGTTCAGGGATGTCCCAGACTCAGGATCAGGAATCCCTGGGGCCATGGATGCCCTGGGGTAAGGGGTGCTCCATCCCCGGGGTGGGGAGGCCCTGGCTGTGGGGTCAAGGATGCTCCAGCCCTGGGTCAGGGACATTCCCCCAGGATATTCCATCCCGGGGCTCAAGGCTGCTCCAGCCCTGACTCCAGGGATGCCCCAGGCCAGGATCAGGTCCAGCCCAGCCCCAGGCTGGACAGGGCTTGGAGCACTCAGGGATAGCGGGCAGGGGTGAAATGGGATGAGCTTTACATCCCTACAACCAAACCACTCCGGGATTCCGGGATTCTGTGACTTCCCCAGCCACCTCCAGGAAGAAACCCACATTTATTTAAGCAACTTTTCCCCAATTTGAAGATAATTAGCCCCCAGCTGCCAGTCACCGTCAGCTCTGCGGGTCCCAGGTAATGGACCAGGCTCAGACGGCTGCTGGAGAATTGATGGATGAGTTAAAATGAGTTCCCACCATTCCTTCTCTGTCGTTATCTTATCTCTGTGCTGGGGAGAAGGGCAGCACATCACAGGATCCATCATCATCATGTCGCCTTTGTAGCTCGCAAAATTCATAATTAACAAAAAATTTCTATTCACTTGCTCATGTAATTTAATTAGTTTCCATTAAACGCAGACTAAACAGCATCTATTCCCCACCAGAGCAAATAATTGTTTTCCATTCTTTCAGAACTCATCCCTGGAACTCTGTGCATTCATTAGGGAGCAGCAGTGGGGAAAGGTGGGGAAAGGAAGGGAAAAGCTGCAGGAAGGAGAGGCAGGGGCTGAGAGGGGGCAGGGCAGGGCCGGAGCTGCCTCGGGCTGAGCCGGGATGTCCCGGGATGTCCCCACTGACCCCGAGGGGGGTCTGGATCCATCCCGCTCCACCTCCCCCCGGAGGAGCCTTTGCGCTGCCAAAGGGTCAAGGACCGGGATGGGGACAGGGACAGGGATGGGGACACTCCCCAGGGCCACCTCGGGGTCGCCTCCAGCCCCCCAGTCCCCAGTGGGGTTGGGGATCAGCCCCCCCTGCCAGCCCAGCTCCGTGGAACCGGGGCCGTTTATCCGGATCCCAGGAAAGATTTAATTTCCAGTGGAAATCTCTCAAGCAAATACCTCCCTCGGAGGAATAAACCTGTTTAAGGAAACAATTTTCTCTGCGCTCAGATGAGGCTCGAATGCTTTGCTGCAGCCATGGCCCGGGGCTGGCTCGGATCCAGGGTGGGATGGGAGCCAGGAGAGACCCGGGCTGGCCTGGGTGCGGCTGGGAGCAGTGGGAACGGGGGGGACTGGCCCCAAATCCCGCTGGATGCTATTGAGAACCAGTGAAATTGGGGGAAACTGGCCCCAAATCCCCCCGGGTGCAGCTGGGACCAGTGGGAACAACGGGGACTGGCCCCAAATCCCCCTGGGTGCTATTGAGAACCAGTGAAAATGGGGGAAATTGGCCCCAAATCCCCCTGGGTGCTATTGAGAACCAGTGAAAATGGGGGAAATTGGCCCCAAATCCCCCTGGGTGCAGCTGGGAGCAGTGGGGACAGGGGGGACTGGCCCCAAATCCTGCTGGGTGCTACTGAGAACCAGTGAAAATGGGGGAAACTGGCCCCAAATCCCCCTGGGTGCAGCTGGGACCAGTGGGGATGGGGGGGACTGACCCCAAATCCCTCTGGGTGCTATTGAGAACCAGTGAAAATGGGGGAAATTGGCCCCAAATCCCACTGGTTGCAGCTGGGAACCAGCAGGAATGAGGGGGACTGGCCCAAATGCCTCTGGATTCTCTGCTGCCCAGCACAGTGCATTGTCCTGTCCCCAAGGGGTGGTGGTGGTAGTGACCATGCTGGCCCTGGCACCTCTGGGGTGGTCAGTGCCAGCTCTCCAAGGTGGGTTCCAGCCCTCCAAGGTGGGTTCCAGCTCTCTGTGGTGGGTTCCAGCTCTCCATGGTGGGTTCCAGCTTCCCCCAGACCAGCTCCCCTCTCTGGCAGGGGCTGGGACAGGACACATGTCCCAAGGGGTGGGCATTGTCCCTAAGTGCAATGAGCAGTGACACCTTGAGCTGCCCCACCCGTGTGTCCCTCCTCAGTGTCCACAAGGAACAAAGACTTATCTGATCCCAAAATTCTTTGGCACCGGGGAAGGGCACAGCTCTGGGATGGGCACAGGGGCTGGGCTGGGAGCAGCTGGGCATGGGCAGGGAGTGCCCACAGAGCTGCCCAGCCCTGGCTCTGTCCATCCAGACCAGGCTCTGTCCATCCTGCCCTGGCTCTGTCCATCCTGCCCTGGCTCTGCCAACCTGCTCAGGCTCTGTCCATCCTGCCCTGGCTCTGTCCATCCTGCTCTGCCTCTGTCCATCCTGCCCTGGCTCTGTCCATCCTGCCCTGGCTCTGTCCATCCTGCTCTGGCTCTGTCCATCCTGCCCTGGCTCTGTCCATCCTGCTCTGGCTCTGTCCATCCAGGTCTATCTCTCCATCCCTCTGCTCCCTGGGCCCAGGGATTTACCCTTAATCCGATCATTTCCCCATCTGGGTCACGGCTCTGTGTCCATCGTGCCCAGGCCAAGGGGGGGTGTCTGGGCACAGGGGGTGACACCCAGGATGACACCCAGGGTGACACCCAGGCACCCCAGGGTGGGTGTGGATCCATCCAGCCCCCACTGCCCCATCCTGGGAGCCCCAGGACTGCCCAGAACTCAGGGCAGGGGATGTCCCTCCCTCACTTCCCTGCTGGTTCCGATGTCCCTCCCTCACTTCCCTGCTGGTTCCTGGGGTGGGAATTAGGAACAAAGCCCTCTTTTGGTTCCTTTCAAGAAGCAGCACTTGGTAGGGCTCAGGATTGCTGCCACAGATCAGCCCCAAAGGTCTCTCTCCCCTCTGGCAGTTGGGTGTAGACCCAAACAAACCCATAAACCCTTGGGATTGGAACAGGTTCTAATTAAGCCCTAAATCTGTGGGGCAGCCCCTCCCCAGCCAGGGGCAGAGGAAGGGGCTCAGCCCTGGGCATGAGGCTCCCACTCTGCCATGGGGGGGGTCCCTCCTGGCAGTAAATAAAATAATAAAATAAACAATAATAAAGAAAATAAAATAAAGTAAATAAAATTTTTAAAAAGTAAATAAAATAAACCCCCAGCCCTGCCTGCCCCTCTCCAGGGAGGGGTTTGTGTGCCTGGAGCTGCTCATCACCGGGCTCTGGAATGGAGCTGCCCGGGCCTGAGCAGCAGCGACACCCCAGGGACCATGGGACACCCCAAGGACCAGGGACACCCCAGGGACCATGGGGCACCCCAGGGACCCCCCAGGGCCAGCCCTGGGCTGCAGCAGCCATTCCCATGGGATCCCACCTGCCATTCCCCCTGCAGCTGCCAGGACCTGGAGAATCCTCCCTGGATTTGGGAGAGGGACTGGGGACAAGGATGGAGGGACAGGACACAGGGAATGGCTCCCAGTGCCAGAGGGCAGGGCTGGATGGGAGATTGGGAATTGGGAATTGTTCCCTGGCAGGGTGGGCAGGGGCTGGGCTGGAATTGCCAGAGCAGCTGTGGCTGCCCCTGGATCCCTGGCAGTGCCCAAGGCCAGGCTGGACACTGGGGCTGGAGCACCTGGGACAGTGGGAGGGGTCCCTGGGGGTGGCACTGGGTGGGATTTAAGGTCCTTTCCCACCTAAATCATTCCATAAATTCAGTGATTCCACCAATGATTCCATCATTCCACCTCAATGATTTCCCTGGTTATCCACAGGTGAGGAGCAGGATTTAATTCTGAACAGAAAAGTAACCAGAGCAATAAACCGCAGGCACTGAGCTGTGTAAAAAAAGCCATTTATTGCGGTTTTAACTGTATCAAAACCCCCCAAAGGGAACAGGACAGGGAACACACTGAACCAAAAACTCTCAATTTCATGGGATCTGCAGGAGGGTCTCACCGTCAGTGGCACAGCCAAACCAGAATTCCTTTCAATCCCGAGTTCTGCCTCCCCCGAGGAAGGGGAGGGGAAAAGCTGCCGGGGGAGATGTGGAGGGGACAGACTGCACAGGGTGGCACCGCTCCGAGCTGCTGTCACCTGCTCTGAGCTGCTGTCACCTGTTCTGAGCTGCTGTCACTGCTCCTGCCAGCCCAGCCCGGCCCCGCGGGCACAGCTCGTCACTGGATCTCCCCCATGTACAGCCGCTTGTCACTGGAGGCAGACAGAACTGCGGGCAAGCAAGGAATAAAGAGATTAAAACAGAATATAAACATTCAAACTATAGAAAAAACGAAATAGAACACAAAAATGGAATATAAAAACGGAAATAGAATATAAAAATTGAATATAAAAGTGAAGTAGAGCGCAAAAATTGAAATAAATGCAAAAATTAGAATATAAACACTGAGATAGAAGGCAAAAATTAGAATAAAAAACTGAAATAAACGCAAAAATTAGAAGAGAATATAAAAACCAGAATGCAAAAATTAAAATAGAATATAAAAGCAGAAATAGGATACAAAAATATAATGTAAAAATGGAAATAGAATATAAAAATTTGAATATAAAAAGTGAAATAGAATACAAAACTTAGAATATAAAACCAGAAGTAGAATACAAAAATAGAATACAAAAATAGAATACAAAAATTTGAATATAAAAAGTGAAATAGAATACAAAAATTGAATATAAAAACTGACATAGAATACAAAACTTAGAATATAAAAATTGAAATAAATGCAAAAATTAAAATAGAATACAAAAACTGAAATAGAATACAAAAATAGAATATAAAAAGTGAAATACAATACAAAAAAGAATATAAAAGTGAAACAGAATACAAAAATTTGAATATAAAAACTGAAACAGAATACAAAAAATATAAAAACAAATAGAATTCAAAAATTAGAGTATAAAAACTGAAATTGAATACAAAAATAGAATATAAAAACTGAGATAGAATGCAAAAATTAAAATAGAATATAAAAACTGAGATAGAATGCAAGAATTAAATAAGTGAAATAAATGCAAAAATTAAAATAGAATATAAAACCTGAAATAGAATACAAAAATTTGCATATAAAAAGTGAAATAGAATACAAAAATTTGCATATAAAAAGTGAAATAGAATACAAAAATTTGCATATAAAAAGTGAAATAGAATACAAAAATTAGAATATAAAAACTGAGATAGAAGGCAAAAATTAGAATAAAAAAACTGAAATAAATGCAAAAATTAAAACAGAATATTAAAAGTGAAATAGAATACAAAAATAGAATGTAAAAAGTGAAACAGAATACAAAAATTGAATAGTAAAATTGAAATAAATGCAAAAATTAGAATATAAAAACTGAAATAGAATACAAAACCAGAATATAAGAACTGAAATAGAACATAAAAATTATAACATAAAATCTGAAATGGAATACAAAAATTCCCCCCGTGGTTTGAGACCTCCCCAAGGACAGCCCAAACTCCTGATTTTGCTGGAAGCAGAGCTCAGCAGCTTCCCAGAACAGGCATGGAGCAGCTCTGTGCCCCCAGAGCAGCTGTGCCACCCCTGCCACCCCCAGAGCAGCACCGTGCCCCCCAGCCCAGCTGTGCTGTGCCCCCCGGAGCAGCGCTGTGTCCCCAGCCCAGCTGTGTCCCCAGCCCAGATGTGCCCCCAGCCCAGCTGTGCCCCTGGTGGCCGCCAGCCCCGTCCCCAGCCGAGGGAATGGCTGGAACACCTCCGGAAGGTTCCCGAGGTGGGATTTTCATGCCGGGAAGGGCTGAGCTCCAGCCGGGCTCTGCCAGCACCGAGTGCCTCTAGAGGGCACATCTGGCCAGGAAAGTGTCCCCAGGGCACCTGCTGCCCTGATTCGTAAGATTTCCTAAAGCCTTCTGAGTTTACATTCTGTTAGAGAACTTTCTCACACAACTTTCTGTAAACAACCCATTGTTTTACATTCCTCCATAGAGGCAGAAAAACTTGATGTACTGGCAGTTTGTCCAATGTCTTTGGAGAGGTGGCACCTTCACCCTCCAATCCACTGTCACCTTTGGAAAAGTATAAATGCTGGAGCCAGAAAATAAACTCTCTCTTTTTCACCTTTGCACTAGCAGTGACTTGCATTGTGCTTTCACGTGTCTTATGGCAACAGGCACCATTCCCTGGGAACAGGGAAACCCAACCAGCCCCCAGCGGCCCTGAGCCACACAGACGGGACCCCTGAGCTTGGGGAACAGCCCTGAGGCCACCAACCCCAGCTGCCAGCCTGGCAGCACCCCAGGGTTACCCCTGCCCAGCAGTGCCACAGCCCCAGGTTCTCTGAACGCCTCCAGGGAAGGGGACTCCACCACCAGGGCTGGACACGGGTCCCTGGCCAGGTTCTGATGTTTTTATGGAATTATAAAATCATCAAGGCTGGAAAAGCCCCCTGAGATCTTTGAGTCCAACCTTTAACCCAGCCCTGCCGTGTCTCCAATTGCCACCTCCACAGGGCTTCTAAATCCCTCCAGGGATGGGGATCCAGCACTGCCCTGGGCAGTGTCAGGGCTGGACAACCCTTTCCATGGAGAATTCTTCCCAAAAATCCCCCCCTGAGCCTGCCCTGGCCCAGCCTGAGGCCGTTCCCTCTGCTCCTGTCCCTGTTCCTGGAGCAGAGCCCGACCCCCCGGCTGTCCCCTCCTGTCAGGAGCTGTGCAGAGCCACAAGGTCCCCCTGAGCCTCCTTTGCTCCAGGCTGAGCCCCTTCCCAGCTCCCTCAGGGATTCTCCAGCCCCTTCCCAGCTCCCTCAGCCTCTCCTGGGGCTGCAGCCTCAGGGAATTCACAAGAATGAGCCAGAAGACAGCAGCAGTGGTTTAATCCCTGCCCAAGAGAGCTCTGGGGGTTTCTGCACCAATTCCCAGCCCAGGTTTTGTCACCCTGGCACAGCCCGTGCAGGTGAGAACCCGGCAGTGATTTATGGATTAGCATCCCAGGAGTTCCCAGCCAGCAGCTGCACGACTCAATAGGTTTTTAGTAATGGATTTTAAACTGTTGTTTGAAGCCCAGTGATTGATGGCCCAGGAGGAGCTGAGCACTGGATCCCACACCCAGAGAGGAGCTGGCTCTGCTTCTCCAGCCCAGCCCCAGCCCCAGGCAGAGCTGTGGATACCCAGAACAAATCCAGAGCTCCCTGCCCCTTGGCTTGCCTTTGGGTGACTGATGGCAATTTTTGGCTGCTGACCAGGCCAAGGTGAGTGTTTCCATGGAAATACAGCACCCTGCAGTCCTGCCCAGCCCTTGCTGGACCAGGAAATGGGAATGGGACCTGGTCCCAAGCTTCAAATGGCTCTGAAAAGCCACCACGAGCTTTGCACCAGCCAGCTCTGAGTGTGGTGCCATGTGTAAGACACCTCCAGAACAGGGCCCAAACCCACTGCACCAAGAGCTTCCTTTGGGTGGGATTTTGAGGAGGAATTGCTCCCTGGCAGGGTGGGCAGGGGCTGGGCTGGAATTGCCAGAGCAGCTGGGGCTGCCCCTGGATTCCTGGCAGTGCCCAAGGCCAGGCTGGACACTGGGAGCACCTGGGACAGTGGGAGGGGTCCCTGCCATGGCAGGGGTGGCACTGGATGGGACTTAAGATCCCTTGCAACCCAAACCATTCTGGGACTGTGATTTTGTGATTCTCTGATTTGCTTCCTACAACCTTTGGGGAAGTTAGGACCCCTCAGGCTCCCAGGTGACCCATGTCCTCATGGAATCACCAAACATGGTCATACCCCTGGCACCCCAGCTGTCCCAAACCCTCTCCCCATGGCCCCTGGGCAGTGGCAGCCACCCCCAGCCCACAGCAAGAGCCACCCTGCTGCCCTCTGGGTGTCCCCAGCCCAGTCCCAGAGTCCCTGTGCTCAGCCCAGGGTGTCCCCACCCAACTGGAGATGAGCAAATAAGGCTCTGCCACCTCTAACTCTGCTAATGGACTCTGAGCCACTCTGGCAGTTTGGAGGTCACTTCCCAGCGGATCAGCAGCTCAGTGAGCCCTGGAACTGCTGCCCTGGGAGTGGGGAGCACTTACTGATGGGTTCCTCGGGGTGGAAGGCCAGCTCATTGACAGAGCCAGCATGGCCAGGCAGCTTGTACAGGATCCTCCTGGAGGTGGTGTCCCACACGTACACAAACCTGAAACAGAGCTCTGGTGAGGGCCCAGCAAAACACCCCCAGGTGCTTCTGCAGCTGGCTGGAATGATCTTTGTGAGGATAAACGGGAACTCCCAGGAGAAAAATGCTGCTCTGACAGGCCCAGGAGAGCAGAGGCCTGAGCAGGGAGGAGACACGAGTGGCAAAAACCTCACTGCCAACAGTGCACCTCAGCCCTCAGGGCACAGAGATGGATTTGAAAGCTGAGGCCAAAGAAATCCTTGATAGCGCAGGGACAGGGAGTAAATCAGCACTGGGAGTGGGGAGGAGGAGGGGCCTCACCCTCCCAAACACCCCCCAACACTGTGTGCATGTCCAGGCATCCCCCTGGGCTGGCAGTGAGGAGCCCAGAGCCCCCCAGCCCCTGCTGCACTGCAGCAGCTCCAAAGATGGGATTTCTCCCCGCTCTGCCCCATGAGCCACTTGCCAGCATTTATTAGGGAGTGATGGGATCACCCTGAGCCCTTTGATCACCCTCTGCCAGGCCTCACCCACTGCTGGCTCCTGCCTGGGCCCCCCAGGATCCTTCCCTGGGGGCACCAGGCACAGCTCAGCTTCCACAGTTCTCTTAAAAACGGTCTCAGAGGCAGGGAAACCGAGCCCAAATCCCTGTGTCTGCTGTGGGAAGCTCTGCTGGGACCTGCCCCAGGAGCTGTCAGAGCCCTGAGCTCCACCAGCACCTGCAGAATGAACCAAGTGACCCAACTCCAGCAACACCTGCCCAGAGCAGGGCTCAGCCTGCCCACAGGGGCCCAGGCAGGAGCTGCTCCCCCCAGGGCAGGAATTCCTGATCCCCCCAGGGCAGGAGCTGCTCTCCCCCAGGGCAGGAATTCCTGATCCCCTCAGGGCAGGAATTCCTGCTCCCTCCAGGGCAGCAATTCCTGATCCCCTCAGGGCAGGAGCTGTTCTCCCCCAGGGCAGCAATTCCTGCTCTCCCCACTGACAGCCCAGCAGGGCTGGAGGCAATCCAGCCCCAGCTCATGCTGGGACAGCTGCCCCACTAAATCTGGACAGGGAGAGCTCAAGTTCTGCCTCTGAGCCACCAGAAGCTCATTAATCCGGTAATTACTGCGGCCCCATGCCCTGGCCCCCAGCCTGTAGGAATTCCTGTCTCCCTGGCACTGGATTTGGGCCTGGATTTGCTCCAGGGGACACGTGTGTCCTTCACAGGGACCTTCAGACCTGACCTGCTTCCTCCCTCTGCCCTTTCCCCTCCTCAGCTCACTTTACAAAATCTTTCATTTACAAGACTGAGATGTGCCAATTGATTTTTTTTTCTCCTTAATTAAAGGAGTCATTAATGACCCCTGGAATCCCACCATGCAGGGATTTACCTGGGATTTCTGCTCCTCATCCTCCAGCCCCACACACAGACCCTGCTCTCAAAAACCCCCCCAAGCTTCTGCCAGGACACCCAGGGGTCCAAGCCAGTGACAGAGATGTCCCTGTCACCTGCTGGGGGGTTCTGTGGTGGGACAGGGCAGAACCTCAGCCAGCTTTTGGCAATAACAATAACCAGATTTTACAACATTCAGATGCTCCTCCACGGAGCCCAAAGCAGCAGAAACACATCCCTGTGGAAATCAGGGAAACTCCCCGAGGGCTGTTTGGGATTTCACACTCTACACACGAGCCTGAGCCTGGAGATTCTGATCCAGGAACGCTGCAAATCCATCAGGGGACAGAGGAATGAATGCAGTGACAACTCACCTGTCAGCAGAGCCCCCTGCAATTTTACTGCCATCTGGGGACCAGGAGCACCTCAGAAGGTTCTAAAACAAAAGAAAATGCACAGACCTATTTAGTTTCCCCCTTTTCTTGAACTGAAATCACCACGAGACTTTAACCAGCACCACTTTAATGATCTCCCTTGGAAGATGAGATGGTAATTACAGATTTTATTTTATTGCTGGAAACAGCCAGTGCCTTGTTATTTTACACAAAGTAGATGGTAAGTGTAGAAAATACTTAATTTACAGCTAATTACAAATGAACTGAGCACAGAAATCTTGTTACTGAGGCTTTAATTGGAACCCACTTTGTGGATTCATCTTCCTTTGAGTTCTTATTAGCGCCTTTCTGGCCTAAACTTGCATTGAAAAAAACAATTTAGAGAAAAGTTAATAGCAGAGGGAATTGAACAAGGAGTGGAGCACACTCACCTTTTCAAAATTATGGACATTCCCCTGGAAAATCTTCACACATCTCTCCTTGGGGGCGAAGGGCCTGATGTCCCAGATCCGAACTGCAACAGAAGCAGAGCCAGCAGCTGAGGGGACAGGGACAGGGACAGCAGCCCTGGCAGAGCCCCTGTGCCCAGGACAGCCTCCCTGAGCCCCCATTCCCCAAAGGCCACGGGGAACCAGCAGCTTTCCCTGCAGGAGGCTTTGCTCTGGCACAAACAGCAGCAATGGGGAATCACAAAATATTCCCCACCTGCCATGCCAAAACTGAGCCATCACCTCCCCACAGAGGCTTTTCCTCATCCTGACACATCCCATGGGAATGGTCCTGACGGGCTCAGCCTCACCAGGGACAGCGGGACAGGCAGGGGGGCACTGGGCTGTCACTCCTGCTGAGGGGACACAGCCAAGCCACCTTGACATGAGCCAGGCCCAGAGTGCACAGATCACCTGTGCCATGCTCCTGTCCCCAATATCCTGCAGGATAACCTGTGCCATGGCTCCTGTCCCCTGCAGGATAACCTGTGCCATGGCTCCTGTCCCCAATATCCTGCAGGATAACCTGTGCCATGGCTCCTGTCCCCAGTATCCCCCAGGATAACCTGTGCCACGGCTCCTGTCCCCAATATCCTGCAGGATAACCTGTGCCATGGCTCCTGTCCCCAATATCCTGCAGGATAACCTGTGCCATGGCTCCTGTCCCCAGGCCCTGCAGGATAACCTGTGCCATGGCTCCTGTCCCCAATATCCCCCAGGATAACCTGTGCCATGGCTCCTGTCCCCAGTGTCCTGCAGGATAACCTGTGCCATGGCTCCTGTCCCCAATATCCCCAGGATAACCTGTGCCATGGCTCCTGTCCCCAATATCCTGCAGGATAACCTGTGCCATGGCTCCTGTCCCCAATATCCCCCATCATAACCTGTGCCATGGCTCCTGTCCCCAATGTCCTGCAGGATAACCTGTGCCATGGCTCCTGCAGGATAACCTGTGCCATGGCTCCTGTCCCCAGTGTCCTGTAGGATAACCTGTGCCATGGCTCTTGTCCCCAATATCCTGCAGGATAACCTGTGCCATGGCTCCTGTCCCCAGTGTCCTGCAGGATAACCTGTGCCATGGCTCCTGTCCCCAGTGTCCTGTAGGATAACCTGTGCCATGGCTCCTGTCCCCAATATCCCCCAGGATAACCTGTGCCATGGCTCCTGTCCCCAATATCCTGCAGGATAACCTGTGCCATGGCTCCTGTCCCCAATATCCTGCAGGATAACCTGTGCCATGGCTCCTGTCCCCAATATCCTGCAGGATAACCTGTGCCAAGGCTCCTGTCCCCAATATCCTGCAGGATAACCTGTGCCATGGCTCCTGTCCCCAATATCCTGCAGGATAACCTGTGCCATGTGTCCTGCAGGATAACCTGTGCCATGGCTCCTGTCCCCAATATCCTGCAGAATAACCTGTGCCATGGCTCCTGTCCCCAATATCCTGCAGGATAACCTGTGCCATGTGTCCTGCAGGATAACCTGTGCCATGGCTCCTGTCCCCAATATCCTGCAGGATAACCTGTGCCATGGCTCCTGTCCCCAATATCCTGCAGGATAACCTGTGCCATGGCTCTTGTCCCCAATATCCTGCAGGATAATCTGAGCCATGGCTCCTGTCCCCAGTGCCCTCCCAGCTGGGACAAACCCCCTGAGGCAGCTGCTCTCCCCCTCAAGGACCCAAACTCACGGTTCAGCTCTGGAGCCCAGCTCCCTGCAGCCCAGCCCAGCCCAGCTGAGTGCTGTTTTTGCAGAGGAGCAGGCAGAGGTGTCCCTGGAGGCTCAGCAGGGTGTACCTGTGTTGTCCATGGCGTTGGAGAGCAGGTAGGAGCCCTCAGAGCTGAGGCTCAGGCCCGTCACCGAGTCGGCGTGGCCCCGCATGGTGTAGGTGAGCTTGTTCTGCCGCAGGTCCCACACCTGGCACGGAAACACAGCAGCACTGCTGGGGCTGCAGCTCCCACAGCACCCCACAGCACCCCACAGCATCCCACACGGGCCCTGGGGGCTCACAGCTGCCATCAGCTGGGGGTTCCAGCTGCTGGAGCTTGATGGAGTGTAGGGAAATGGGATTTGTGCCTTGGATTTGGAACTGGAGGTGTTCCAGCCCCAGGAGTTACATGGCAGCAGCAGCACACACACAGCACACAGGGAATGGCTCCCAGTGCCAGAGGGCAGGGCTGGATGGGAGATTGGGAATTGGGAATTGTTCCCTGGCAGGGTGGGAGGGCTGGGCTGGAATTGCCAGAGCAGCTGTGGCTGCCCCTGGATCCCTGGCAGTGCCCAAGGCCAGGCTGGACACTGGGGCTGGAGCACCTGGGACAGTGGGAGGGGTCCCTGCCAGGGCAGGGGTGCAGTGAGATGGTGTTTCATGTGCTTCATCCTTTCCTTTAAACCTCTCCATGACTCTATGAAAACATGAGGCTGGAAGTTTATGGGTTTCTAGAAAGACAGAATTTGCCTTTGAGAAGATTTCCAAGTGAATACATTCAAACTGCAAGGAGCTCAATGCCAGCAGCCCCAGGCCTGCAGAACTCCTCTTGACTGGCCCCAAAATCCCCCAAACCCCCTGGCACAGAGCAGAGCTCCCCAATTCCCACAGTTCCCGGGGTTCTTCCCAAAGAGGGGCAGTGGGAGCAGCTCTGGTGGCAGTGCCACACTGAGCTCGGGCTGTGACAGGCTGGGGACAGCTCTGGTGGCAGTGCCACACACAGCACTGGCTGTGACAGGCTGGGGACAGGCCAGAGCAGGGCTGAGGGCACGGGGACAGCCAGAGCCCTGCAGCCCCCAGGGCAATCAGCTGAGCTCACTGTTAAAAAAGAACTTTCCACAGCATCAGGTGCCAGGGGCAGCTGCAAACTGGGGCAGAGGGCACAGGGAGGATGTGTCACCACATTCTCTTCAGCTTTCCTCACAGCTGGCTCTGTCCCAGGCTGCCAGCACAGCCAGCAATCCACGCTGGCTGCGGGGTGACAGCAGTGGGGACAGCCAGGCTGTCCCTGCCAGGCTGTCCCTGCCAGGCTGTCCCTGCCAGGCTGTCCCAGCTCCATGCCACTTTATTGCCCCTGTACCACCAGCAGAGATGGACACAGCAGGTCCAGGGGGGCTGGGATATAAAATTCAGCAGGTGGCACCCACGGCTGTCCTTGACCAACACAAGGTGTGACAGGATGGAAAAGGTGGGAAAGGGGGAAAGGGACACAGGGTCCTACCTTGATGTCATTGTCGATGCCTCCAGAGATGATCTGGTCACTGGTGTCATTGAAGGTGACAGCCAGGACCTGGTAGGTGTTCTGGAATGTCTGGACAGCAGCTTTTTTCCTGATATCCCACAGCTGCAAAGAAATGTGGCACTTATAAGAGGTGTGCACAACAAAATCACTGCAGAGATGTTGGCAGGGACTCAGCCTGTTCTCCTGAAATCCCTTTGTAGGTCTCATAAAAAACATCAGATCTGGAGATCTTTATAAAAAACATTGAATCTGCTGTGTCTGGAGCACAGGAATGAAGGCAGGGAAGAAGAGGCCAGCACAGATGAAATCACAGAACAAAGAAGAAGGGGTCAGCCCAGATTTCAGGAATAGTTTTCTCGTGCTTTGCTAATCCAGCAAGAAACTCTGATTTCTGATTTTCTGTCCAGAAAGAACTCTTTGGACCTCCAGGGATGGGCACCCCAAACCCCCCTGGGCAGTGCCAAGGCCTGACCCCCTTTCCATGGGGAAATTCCTGCTGCTGCCCACCCTGAGCCTGCCCTGGCCCAGCCTGAGGCCGTTCCCTCTGCTCCTGTCCCTGTTCCCTGGAGCAGAGCCCGACCCCCCGGCTGTCCCCTCCTGTCAGGAGCTGTGCAGATCCAGAGCAGCAGAAAAATCCCATCTGAGCAGCTCAACCTTCCCAAGCCCCCTGGGAAGCACAGAAAAAACAGAGCAGTGAAATTTGCTGTCACATTTTTGCCTCTGACCTCAGAGCGCCAACGAAACGAGTACCAAAAGGCCGAATTCAGCCCAGATAAATGGGAAGATCCTAAAAGCTTCTCCACCTTTTTTCCCTGAGCTTTGCCCAGGGCACACACTGACCTTGACAGTGCCATCGTCGCTGCCGGTGCAGACGAGCTGGGGGCCCCTCCGGGCAGGGTAGCAGGAGTTGACAAAGGACGTGTGGCCCTTGAGCCTCTTGACCCTCTCGCCCGTCTCGCTGTCCCACACAGCCACGGTTTTGTCCGTGGATGCTGAGAAGAGCATGCTGCAGGAACAACCACTGTGAGGGCCCAGCTCCCTCCCCATTTCCTTTCAGGAACAACCTCCCCCGTGGGTGTTTTGGGGGAGCCTGAAACACTGACTGACACTGGAACAGCTGCATGGATAAACTCCCCTTAATCCCTGCTGTGAATGGTTTTGCTGCCTCCTCAAGCAGCATCTGGGATGAGCACAGCCCAGCAAAGCTCAGCAGCAATGGTGGAAGAGCCTTTTAAATTAACCAGTATCTCACTTGCTCTCTGTCCCCTCCCCAGTGACTCCCAGGCACCCAACACAAACTTCCCTCTGTGCCCCAAAACTGCATCAATGGCACTGGGGGGTCACAGGTGCCCCCAGATCCTCTGCCCACACTACAAGGACTTGGTGTCCATGGACTGAGCACAGGCAACAACCCCAGAATCATTTAGGTTGGAAAAGGGCTCCAAGAACATCAAATCCAAGCTGTGTCTGGTCCTCACCTTGTCCCCAGCCCAGAGCTCTGAGTGCCACATCCAGGAATTCCTTGGACCAGGGATGGGCACTCCAAACTCCCCTGGGCAGCCCCTGCCAAGGCCTGAGCCCCCTTTCCATGGGGAAATTCCTGCTGTGCCCACCCTGAGCCTGCCCTGGCCCAGCCTGAGGCCGTTCCCTCTCCTCCTGTCCCTGTTCCCTGGAGCAGAGCCCGACCCCCCCGGCTGTCCCCTCCTGTCAGGAGCTGTGCAGAGCCACAAGGTCCTCCTGAGCCTCCTTTTCTCCAGGCTGAGCCCCTTCCCAGCTCCCTCAGGGATTCTCCAGCCCCTTCCCAGCTCCCTCAGCCTCTCCTGGGGCTGCAGCCCTGTTCCCTGAGCAGCAGTGAGTCCCTGAGCAGCACACAGCCCCTGCCCTCACCTGCCATCCGTGTTGTAGTGCAGCTCCATGACAGCCCCGCTGTGTCCCTTCAGGGTGGCAAAGTTGTCACAGTCCCCGTAGACGTTCCAGAGCACTGGGGGACAGCAAGGGACAGGAAAGGCTCAGGAACAGCCCCTGCTGTGCATGGAGCTGATCTTCGGGCATTCAGCAAAGTGGGGATGGACCAGCCCCACTGCCGAGTCCCAGCTGGGACAACTCACAGCAGTGACAAAGCATCGTGTGAGCCCCAGGGCAGAGCAGCTTTGGGGACTTCGGTTAAGGTGAATTTATTATGAACAATTACAATCTTTGCTTCAGCAAGCCTAAGTGTTAAAAACTGCATTTCTGCATGTGGGAGTCCAGGGCTTCCCTCTGGCTGCCCTGGGACCCTGGCAGGGTCAGGAACCCCCCTGGACAGAGCCCCCAGAGACACTGTCTGTGATCTCTGTCCATGGAAAAGAGTTTTCAATCTTACAGGATCAATTACAAGCTCTGAGTGTTTGATATCAGTAATAATTAAGTGTGGCACGGGTGCAAAAGTAAAATTTTAGGATTCTAGATTAGGGGTCCAAAGGGAACAAGAAGGAGGAAATTGGGTGTGCCTTGTCCTTTCTCTCCTTCTTCATGCCCTCCATGTTTCACTGTGGTGTTGGCATTTTTCTGTTGGTTCAGGCTGGGGACACACTGTCCAACGTAGGTGACAGATATTGGCACGTTATTGTAAATCCAGCACAGGTAGTTTGTGGTATTTAATGTTTGTAACATCCCACTGAGGGCAGAGCCCCACACGCTGCCCTGCAGGACAGAGCTGCGGCAGGGCAGCAGAACATGTTAGAGATAAACAGAATAAACAACCTTGAAACAGCACAGACCAATTATGGCTTCTGCTTTGGCAGTGGGGCTGACAGACAGAGACTTTCTACAGTCTCGGAATCATCAATAGCTCAGATTCCGACATCTGCAGACCTCTGGAAGCCGTGTGCCAGGGACACAGGGCGTCACAGCTGGCACCCAGCAAGGCACTTTTCCAGCACCATCGGGATGGCACCTGCCAGAGCAGCTGGGAAAAGCTTCCTGCACCCCCATGGGGAAACAATTCACACCCAGAACCCAGCCAGGTGAGGGCTGAGCTAACACCCCCCAGGAGCAGGGCCTGAGCCCGGGGGACAGCAGGGGACAGCAGTGCCACTCACAGATGAGTCTGTCGAAGCCAGCCGAGGCCAGGGTGTTGCCATTGGGATGGAACTTGCAGCAGTAAACCTCCCCCTCGTGTCCTGACAGCAGCATGATGGGGGCCTGCAGCGAGGAGCAGCGCGGGGGGCCCTGGGGGACACCGGGGACACCGTGAGGGGACAAGGGGCAGAGCCGGGGGGGCCAGCCTGCCATCCCTGCTGAGCATCTTCACCTTCCCACAGCACAGCCCACCAGGATTCCAGAATCCCAGCATGACTGAGGCTGGAAAAGAGCTCCAAGGTCACTGAGGCAATCTGGTTCCCCACCTTGTCCCCAGCCCGGAGCTCTGAGTGTCACATCCAGGAATTCCTTGGGCACCTCCAGGGATGGGCACCCCAAAACCCCCTGGGCAGTTCCAATCCCTGACCCCCTTTCCATGGGGAAATTCCTGCTGCTGCCCACCCTGAGCCTGCCCTGGCCCAGCCTGAGGCCGTTCCCTCTCCTCCTGTCCCTGTTCCCTGGAGCAGAGCCCGACCCCCCGGCTGTCCCCTCCTGTCAGGAGCTGTGCAGAGCCACAAGGTCCCCCTGAGCCTCCTTTTCTCCAGGCTGAGCCCCTTCCCAGCTCCCTCAGGGATTCTCCAGCCCCTTCCCAGCCCCCTCAGCCCCTTCCCAGCTCCCTCAGGGATTCTCCAGCCCCTTCCCAGCTCCCTCAGCCCCTTCCCAGCTCCGTTCCGCGGACCAGCCCCAACAGAGGGGCCCGAACCGACCGCAGCACTGCAGGTGGCTCAGCTGTGTCCAGCCTTAGCACGCTCGTGGCCCTTCCCTCGTACTGGAACCACGCCCGGCCTCTCCTCTCCCCTCACCTCCCCGTCCCACCCCGATCTCCTCACTCTCCCCCGTTACCGCCTGCAGCAGAGCTCCGGCCGCGGGCTGTCCCCCCGCGCCGCCCGTGCCCGGCGCCCCGGGCAGGTCATGGCGGGGCCGCTTGGCGGGCGCGGGGACGAGCGGGAGGTCGGGGCCGGGCGCGGGGGCGGCGGCGGGGCCGGCGGGGCCCGGGGGGGCGGCGGGCCCGGGGCCGGGGCCGGGAACGGGGCCCGGCGCCTTCCGCTTCTGCTGCTCGATCATGGCGGCCGCCGCGCCCCGCCCCCCGCGCCCCATTGGCTGCCGGCGCCGCGGGCGCCGCGCTGATTGGCGGAGCGCCTGCATGTCCCGACCCCCGACGCGGTGCCGGCGCGCCGAGGATGGAGCGGGGAGCGCGGCGCCTTCTGGCGCGCTTCGCTCTGATTGGAGGAGAGCGAGCGCTGGGTAGCATGGGTAACGCTGATTGGCTGTGAGACCATCTTACGGCAACATTGCGCGCTGTGATTGGCGGGGAGCGCGGCCCCTCAGCGTGAGGGGGCGATGGCGGCGGTGGCTGAGGCGATGGCAGCGCGCTGCTGTTGCTCCCGCGGGCGCTGACGAGCCCCCACCGCCCCGCGGGCTCCGGGAGGAGCCGTCCTGTCCCACCGCGCCGGTCCGGGTCAGTCCTGCACTGCAGCACTGCGGGTCCATCCCCGCGCCCCTCAAGGCGCTGAACCCCGAGCGCTCTCTGGGGCTTTTCGGGCGTTAATGGAATGATTCTTTCCGCAGCACCCTGCAGAGGAGATGCGGTAGCTCGGGTGAATCCAGCTGGCTGTGGCGGCGCCTCGGGAGCGATGGAGCCGCTCCCCGAGCTCTACTCCGTCTTCCAGGGCGAGGTGCGGCAGCGGCTGGCGCGGCCCGGGCGCTGCTCGGGGGGAATTCATCCCGTGGGTTCGCTCGGGATAACGCGGGGGAGCTCTGGGGGCGCACAGCTCTGTGCGGGTGCACTCCTGTGTCCGGGGGCTGTTCATCTGCAGCTGCGGGGGCAGCCCGGGAGAGGCGGGTCCGACCTCTTCTGTCACCGGGTTCCCACCCTCAGAGCTCGGAATTCCAACAGCAGCAGCACCTGGAGAGAGCCCAGAGGGATCCACGGAGCTGCTGCAGGGCTGGAGCCCCTCTGGAGCCAGGCTGGAGAGCTGGGGGTGCTCCCTGGAGAGGAGAAGCTCCAGGGAGAGCTCAGAGCCCCTGCAGGGCCTGAAGGGGCTCCAGGAGAGCTGCAGAGGGACTGGGGACAAGGATGGAGGGACAGGACACAGGGAATGGCTCCCAGTGCCAGAGGGCAGGGCTGGATGGGAGATTGGGAATTGGGAATTGTTCCCTGGCAGGGTGGGCAGGGCTGGGCTGGAATTGCCAGAGCAGCTGTGGCTGCCCCTGGATCCCTGGCAGTGCCCAAGGCCAGGCTGGACACTGGGAGCGCCAGGGACAGTGGGGATGTCCCTGGGGTGGCACTGGATGGGATTTAATGTCCCTCCTGCCCAGCCATGGCTGATTCTGTGCCCATCTCCACACCACGGGCTGTGCAGGATCGCTGGGCATTCTCCCCTCTTTGGGAAGGGATTCCTGCAGCTCTGCTGTGATTTTCTCCCTCTTTGGGAAGGGATTCCTGCAGCTCTGCTGTGATTTTCTCCCCAGGTTGCTGCAGTGACGGATTTTGGGGCCTTTATCAGAATCCCCGGCTGCAGGAAACAAGGTTGGTGTCCCTGCAGCTGTTCCATGGCGCTGTGGCCGGGGCAAGCAGCCGCCTCGCAGTTAAAAACTTCCAGGAAAAAAAAACAGAAAAGGAGTTTTTCCTAAATGAGGAAGAAATTTGGGAAGCATTTAGAAGATGATGGACTTTAGAATGATTACCAAGGATGACTCAAAGGAGATTTTGGTAACTTAAGGATATTTTGTGGTGGGTTTTGGGGAAATTCTGGAACTTGGATATTATAATAATAATAATAATAATAATAATAATAATAATAATAATAATAATAATAATAATAATAATAATAATAATAATAATAATAATTATTATTATTATTATTACAATATATATTATATTTTACTATATATGATATATAGAAGACATATATAACATATATAACAATAGATGTATTATAATATAGTTTATTATATATAAAATAAAAAAATATATAATATATATTATGATATATATTATAAGGTATATAATTATATATACTATAGATAAAACATATATAACCAAATATATAATAATATATTATAATGTGTCTTATTGTATACATAATATGTAAGATATATATGATACATATATTACTGTATATATTATATATATAAAAAATATATATATATTTAATAGAATATATTATTTATTAACATTTGCAGCTTTACTGGTGGTAGCTGCATTATAAATCAATAACCAAAAAATAGAAATTAAAAATGAGTTAAAGAATGAATAGTTTTCAGAAGAAATTGTAGCAGGGAACATATTTTTAAATAAATAATAATAAAGAAAATAAAAATAAATGAATAGAAATTGAAATAAATATAAAACTCAATTTAAAGATTTTAAAACAAATAGTATTAAAATCCTATTTATTGATATATAAAACCGCATCCTTCCAACACCCCAAAGGATTACCTGGTCCAAGACACTTTGGAAATGCAGATCCAAGGTTTACTGGAGGAATGTTTGTGTAAAACTGATAAGAGGATGAGTAGAGGATGAATTGAACACTAATAATTGTTATATTTTATTTGTATTTTATTTATTAATTTAATTGATTGATTAATTTTATTATTATTTTATTTATTAATTTTGTCAATGTTGGTTATTTATTTTGTTGGTTCATTAATGGAATTACTAATTCTGTGGTTTAATTTTATTATTTTATTATTTCATAGAATAAAAGTATCAAATCAATTAAAAATTATTAATAACAACTTAATATATTTAATAGTGAAATGAATTTAATAATTTTATTAATTTTATTATTCAATATATTAATTATTTTATTGATTAATTTTATTAATGTTATACTTCAATTTTTAGTTCATTAATTTATTATTAATTCTATTTATGTTGTAATTTTATTTTATTGCATTAATTTATTATTCATTTATTAATTCATATACATGGTTTTATTTTTATTTACTTATTATTTAATGTTATAATTTTTATTGCATTAATTTATTATTAATTTTGTTTTTTAAAATTATGTTATAATTCTGATTTTATTTTATTATTAATTTCATTTATTAATTTATGGACAATTTATCAATTTGATGCATTAATTTCTGAGCCCCACCACATTGTTCCCACACGGCGTGGGAATGTCATTCTGTCGGGAGGGCAGGTGTGAACGCTCTTCCTGTCCTCTGTCCCCTGTCCCCGCAGGGCTGGTGCACCGGAGCCAGCTGTCCTCGTGCCCCGTGGACAGCCCCGCGGAGATGCTGGCCGTGGGGGACAGGGTGTGGGTGAAGCTCATCGGCAGAGAGGTGAGCTGGGGCCGGGCACGGTCCCTCCCGGCTGCTGGGCTCGGGGAGATCTCCGCAACGCAAGTCACTGCTAGTGCAGAGGTGAAAAAGAGAGAGTTTATTTTCTGACTCCAGCATTTATACTTTTCCAAAGGTGACAGTGGATTGGAGGGTGAAGGTGCCACCTCTCCAAAGACATTGGACAAACTACCAGTACATCAAGTTTCTCCACTTCTATGAAGGAATGCAAAACAATAGGTTGTTTACAAGAAGTTGTGTGAGAAAGTTCTCTAACAGAATGTAAACTCAGAAGGCTTTAGAAAATCTTAAGAATCAGGGCGACAGTGGTACATTTTTGTTGGGGAAGATGAAATAGGAAAGCCTTATAAATATGCTTGCCTGGCAAAAGACTTAGAAAATACAGACTGAGATGGTAACAAGCTTTGAGATACCAAACCTTAGTCACTGAGCAACTAGAAAACAATAGTACAGCCAGGATGAAGACAATCCCCCCTTCTGGTTGAACAATGCCCTTACCTACAAATAGGCACAAAGGTTAAATGGACTGTTGGATCTCACTCCCCAAAATGTATGGGTCATCCCACATCTGCAACCATCCCCTGAAGCATCAGGAGTCTGTGACCCCATTGGCCCAAGTCTTGTTCCAGCCCACCTTGAAGCCCCTGACAAGGAGTCCCTGAGGAGCCAGATGGTCTCTTGGAACTTCTGTTCTCTTGGAACTGCCCCTCTCCTGAACATCCTCTTGGGATCCTCTCTTATCTCCCTCTACCCCTTGCCTCTCCCTGCCCCCACTCCCTCGGGCCTGCCACGGGTCAGGTCTGGTGACTCCAAGCAGGGCCTTTCACCCTCTCTAATAAACCAGATATTCTAAGGGCAGCCTTCAGAGATCTCTCATCTCCATCCACCCAAACCCTCCTGGAGTCCAGCGTCCTCACACATTTTAAACCCTAAAAACCTTTGGACCCCTTCTGCCCAGCTAGTAGGGTCTGCTCTGCCCCTTGGAGCTGTCTGCAAGCAGAGGGTGTTGTTTCATCAAAAGGGGATTACCTTCAGCTGGCCATACCTTTGTTTTCCAGTTGTTCAGTAACTCAAAACTTGCTTTCATTTCAGTCTCACTCATAGTTTCTATATTCTCAAAATCTTTTGCCAGGCAATCATATTTATAAGGCTTTCCTGTTTCATTTTCCCCAACACTCATTAACGTTTTTAGGTCATTTATTGAGGCATTCACTTACCCTCTGAACAGAGAGAGGCGTGGCTTTTTCAGCATTTCTCCTGAGAGAAGCAGAGAAAAGAATCAAAACAATTCTTGTCTCATTCGCTGCTCCCTGCTTGTGCCCATGTGGAATGGAGATTGTTTACCCAAGGTGATTGCTAGATTGGATCCTGGTGATGGTGTTTGGAGTCATTGACCAGTTGGATCCACAGCTGTGTTGGGACTCAGCAGAGAGTCAGAGGCTTTTTCATTAATGATACAGTTAGTTAGGGATAGTTCTTGTTACTGCAATATAGTTTAACAAAGTAATTAATTAGCCTTCTGAAGTCATTAGAGTCCTACACATCATTCTTCCTGGGGTCAGGCATCCCAGCACCCATAATTCATCCTGCTAATTGCGTGTTTTCCAGATGAAGGATGACAAACTGAAGCTCTCCCTCTCCATGAAGGTTGTTCACCAAGGCACGGGGAAGGACCTGGATCCCAACAACGTTTCCCTTGAGTGGGTAAATCTGAGCAGAACAGAGGGGATGGCTTCCCACAGGGCACAGGGAGTGGCT